CCCCCCCCCCCCCCCAACAGATTCCTTAAGGACCTACTCCACAATCTTTCCAGGTGTTAATTTAATTTTTTCCTCATACAAGGACTGAAGATATTCGTATAGTTAAGATATAAAACCGGGAGGTAAAAAGCACTGGATTCAGTTCTTAGTTCTACTGCAGCCTTCTGGTGTGACCTTAAATAAATCATCTAACCTCTCTGTGCCTTGGTTTCTCCATTTTTAGAATGAAGATATGCTTTCCTTGCATATGTATTTGGCTTTACAGAGCTAGGATGCAAACAAGTCCCATGAGCTAGGACCTAAATAACCACAGTCTACAAAGCTACTCCCACAAGAGAAGAAAGGGGCTTATAGTGGCTGTAAGAGCACAGAAGATAAATAGTTTTCTTATGTTTTTCTTTTTTTGTCCAAGCATAAGAATTTCCACAGTTACTACAGGGTGACTAAGCTTGTGCTCTGCAACAGTAGAACTCTCCTGGCACCACTTATCCCAGTAACAGTTTGAAATGTTTGTATTTTAAACTGCTAATACCGGTGCTGCTTTCAAGACTCAGGCATTCAAAAACATAGAGATGTTGGCACCAAAAGAGAACAAATCTCACTCCTTTGCAGGAGGCATATCTATAACCCTCTTTATACTACAGTGTGGCATGCAGACCTGAAAGGGGAAACTCCCTCAGTAACACGCAACTTATTTTTCATTCTTCCTTCCTTACTCAGGCCCTTCTTCTTTTGTCTCCCTCCTTGACAGTCTTAGGTTAGTATTTTGCAGATTCTTGACACAGTCAGCATTCTTGATATGGGGACCCAAACTTTAGCAGGTATTTCAGTTACCTGTCCAATAAAAACTAAAAAGGATCTGGAGGAAGGAGGGAGACATTCTGCATGCAAAGTGTGTGCTTTTTTACTAGTACCTTTGTCACGGTATATTTCAGTTCTGAAATAAAGAAACCAGATAACTGACTAGAAGAGGGGCTGATGACCTCTTTCAGATTATGGGCTGGAACACTCTGGTCACAGTCCATTGCATACAGGGTGGCTTTAGCAGTGCATCCATGGTATGGGTTGTTGGGAGGATCGAGCTTTTTCTGCACCCCTGCTGGAGCCTTAAAGCTAAGATTTGCATCCCTAGCACTGCTCCTTCTCTTGGCCCCTGCTTCCCCAGCTGTAGTGTGAGAGCAGCTCCAAGCTGAAGGAGAGCTGTGCTGGGGCTGGTGGTCTGGAAGCAGCTTCCATGCTGCTGCCACTTCTCCCTACCCCACCTCCCCACCCTCCACTTCCCCTAACTCCAGCCAGATCAGCCCTGGTGCATCTCTGTTCTGGGTGGAAGTTGTATTTGCACCACAGTCTTGAGGAAGGATAGGGGGCAGGTAGCAGCAGGGACACAGCTTCCTAGCCTCAGTGCTTCTTCCCTACAGCTGGAAGCTTCACCTGTGCCATAACCTTGGAGGAAGGGGGGTTGAGAGAAGTGGCTGAAGCATGAGGACAGTAATTGGCTTCTCAGCCCTGATGCAGGTTCTCACTGTTTAGGCCCAGGCACAGCTCCATGGACTGGATCCAGTGTTTCAGTGAGCTGGATTCAGCCTACAGGCCATATGTTGCTGACCACTGGACTACGGTATTTTTGGTAATATAACATTTGTTGCTGTATGAAATTCTGGATGAACAAATTAGTTCAATTCAACATTTCTGTAATATTTCCTTACCCAGCCTCAGGACTCCTACAACTAGACCTTCCAAAGCTTTAGGGCAAGAACGCTTCAGTTTGTCACCTGCTAGTTTTGCAGGTTGGAATTGAGTTTTAAGAATACGCAGTTCTAATCAATTTAATTTTTATATCATACTGTTTCCTAAATATTTCCTCCTGTTTTTCCTTTTGTGTTTCCAGACCTATTCCTGACATTCTGGAGGGAGGCTGTCCTGTTGCTATTTCCTGTTAACTGCTCGTAGGTTTTGAAGTGTGGATGCTCTTCTTCTTGCAAAGAAAATTCTTTTCCGTATCTTCGTGGAGCTGAATGAGGGAAGACTTCTTAGTTTCCCGTTTCAACTCTTTACTCAACATTTAATTCATGGATCCTGTATCAGCTGGCTTCCCCACTGATGGCACCCACCCAGCATCTTGCCGCACCTCGAATGCAGGGCAATTGAAATTAGCATTTGTTTCCATGAGAGTTGTCTTCTGTGCCAGCTTTTCACTTTGTTTTGCATTATGTTTCACAGCGGAGAAATGATTTTTGTAAGTAAATGCACACAGAAGCCAGTCTTCTTGACTGGTATCTCTTTTTGTCTTAGGAAGGTAACTTTTCCCACTGTGCCCTACTGGGGATCCTAAAAATGGATAAAGTGTCTGCACATGTTGCTTTGTCACCCTGGTTCAACATGTATGAAAAGTTGCAGCAGGAAAAAAAGGATACACTTTTCATCCTGAAGCATGGAAAAAAAAATCCTGGAAATTCCATAATGGGAATTTCTTAACCGAGAACAAAGGCCTGACTTTGCAGATAGGCATCGTAATGTCACCTCATGTAAAGCAGCTAATGCACAGGAACAAATACAAAGCCACCTTGTCCATAGTTTATTTCTATGAGCAGAAATATAGCTGCATGTGTGAGTCCACATAAGTCCTGGATATGAAGAGCTTTCACTGGGATAAGAAAGTGAAAAGCTACTTCTAATTTCTAGCAAGCCCCTTCCCAAGGAAGGTGAAGTTTCAGTGACCTGTAGTACTAAAGAAGATCCTGTAGAGATGGGATCTACATCATTTCCCCAGTTTTCTCCAGAAGCTTTAGTGGCAAAAGGAACAAAAACAAGAGTTGGACAAAACTGATCTCTTTATTAAAGGAACTGACCTCTGGTGGGATGAGAGGCCAGAAGTGTAAAGCCCCAACTCATTAGCTTCTTGGTGCCATTTCAGTTCTTCATACTGCTGATGGAGTTGGGTATTAACTCTTCTGTGGCTATTGGAGAACTGGGACTGCAACATTCATGGTTGGAGGAGGAAAGCAGTCTGATGGGAAGAACTTGCAGCCACTTGGAGGAACAAGTCAGAGAGAGCAAAAATGCTGAGGAATGGCTTTTTAGGCTCCTCCTATCTTTCCCAAACCAGAAGAAGATCATAGTTCTCACATGTTTACAAAAAGTTCTTTGTTTCCATCACTTGTGATTATACAGGATGTTTTCCTTCCTCTTGAGATAGGAGTATATATCATTTAGTTGCTTCCTCTAGTTTCTCTCTGTAGTCAGTGAGGTTTCTTGGTGGAAAGGCCAGAATTTGGTTCTCTTGTTTTCTTCCATTTGTATCTGGAGCTCTTTTTAGTGCACCTTATTCCAAGCTTATATTAATGTGAATTTAGCAAATGTGACTTTAAAAAAATTATATTTTAAAAATCTGGAACAAAATGGATTTAGGTTTTGTTTATGTTTGATTTTTTTTTTTTTTTTTTTTTTTTTTTTTAAAAAACTCCTTGTAAGAGCCAAAAAAGCTGAA